AGAAAACTGGACTGCTTTCAAATTCAATTGTAACAGCATAGAATTCAGAATCCTGGGGAAATAAAGCATGAAGATTACTGTATGTATGCACATGCCAAGGGCTGAATCAAGGTCTGTTCTGTGTCACTTCATGCAACAAAGTCTGCAAATATTCATAAACTGGGGAACAGTCAGTTCTATTAATATTTGCTGGTCTGACCACTACTATGGTACTGCCATTTTGCACGTGTTCTAGCAATTCACAGCCTTCATAATTAACAGCCTTAATGACCAGGAATCTAGTCAGATATTGATGTAAGTTACTGTAAAATCCTTCTTAAAAATTCTATCCTCCATCTGGTTTTGTCACCTTTTTCACATGGATGCATGTACATGCATTTGTTAATAAAGGGTTATAAAACCATGCAATACCTGGTTTAAACTTTAAGCCATTTTTGTTAGTCCAGCGGCATTGGTAACTTTAATCAGCAAAAGGGTAGATAAGCTCACCCCCTTCTTTTGGAGGCTTCCCAAGTTGACACCAGGGTACCAGATAAGCAACCTCATTGTGCTGCTTCTCTATCATGGGGAGGGCGACGGACATGAATTTTCCCTGCCAGTCTTTGTCGTTGGCTAGTGCACGCCGGACTGCTGTTCTGTGGGCAAAATCATCTGTAAGATAGGGGGAAAAAAACAGCGTAAGAAAATGTACTTAATGTCATGTCAGACTCAATCAAAATGTGTAACTACAAGAAAGCAACCTGCACTTCTCTAATTTTGAAACTGGTGTTTTAAAACAGTGCATTAGCTCAAAGCAGATGTGGGGTGTTTCCATCAAATTCTGAAAAACATGGCTTTAAATTCTGCTTTAGCTCTCAGATTAAAATGGCTTCAAGCCAAACCAAATTTTCCAAGAAAAGTTATAAAAAAGTGAAAACACATTAAGCCATGTTACTGTTAAAATTACTCATGTACGGCATCCAGAGGGACTACTGGATGTGGCAACAGTTACCAAGGATAAGTAGATTCAGAGAAAGCACAGTGGATAAGGAAGTGAAGTGGAAAAGAAAATTCAGAAGAAGTATTAGCCTACCAAGAGAAAAATTAATACAAATATGAGTTTGGCTTATATAAAGTGACATTCAAAGTGTAGAATTAATGCTTATTTGTTCAGCTACATAAAAAGTTATTAAATGTCCAAAAGCTATGATTTATTCTTTTTTCCCTTAATTACAACCAAATCCACTTAATTAAGAGTGTCTGAGTTTGAACTGGTCAGGCTGTAGTGGCATCTTAAGCAGTATATTTATGCATACAGCTTCTGACACTGCATAGGAAAAATCCAGCATCTGAGAACAGAAAGAACCCTGAGAAAGATCTGTTTCTTGGGTCAAAGAGGACAATATGCCAATTATTTTTAACTACTAAAAAGATATAAGCAAGGGTCTGCTGAATCAAGGAGAAAGGATGTTGTAACTCACACCTGTAAAACACTGCTGGCAAACAAAAAGAGTTTTTCCTTGGTTTTGCATTTTAAAAGTCTCTCATAGATTATTAATTTGTTTTCAGAGATAGGATCAATAGCCAAATCTAAAAAGTTCTGAAAAGTGAGCCAATTTATTAACCATAGGTGCAGGCAAATCCACAGTATTACTGATGACAGAAAAATGTCCCTCTCTGGAAGAAAACAAAAGATATGGTTACCCAGGTCATACAAAAGGGTGAGGTAGTCAATGACCTTTTTTTTGCCTTGGTCTTCACCAGCATGTGCTCCAGCCAGACCACCCAAGTCACAGAAGGCAAAGACAAGCGACCGTGAGAATGAAGAACCACCTGCTGCAGGAAAAGCTCATGTTCAAGACCATCTAAGGAACCTGACAGTGCCCAAGCCCATGGGACTTGATGAAATACATCTGCAGGTCCAGAGGAAACTGGCAGAGGAAGTGGCTAAGCCACTATCCATCATATTTGAGAAGTTATGGCAGCCCATTTTTAAAAATGGACAGAAGGAAGACCTGGGGAACTACAGGCTGGTCAGTCTCATCTCTGTGCCTGGAAAGATCATGGAGCAGGTCCTTCTGCAAACTATACTAAAACACATGGAAATTAAGGTGATTGGTGATGGCCAATGTGGCTTCACTAAGGGCAAATCCTGCCTGACAAATGTGGTGGCCTTCTGTGACAGGATTACAGTGTTGGTGGATGAGGGAAGAGCAATTGAAGTCATGCACTTGGAGTTGTGCAACGCTGGAGAGACATGGATCTGATGGGCAGACTACTCAGTGGATAAGGAATTGGCTGGATGGTCACACTGAAAAAGCTGTGGTCAACAGCTCGATGTCCAAGTAATGAGTTGCATCCCTCAGGGCTCAGTACTGGGAGCTGTGCGGTGCAACGTCTTTGTCGGCAACATGGACAGTGGGATTGAGTGCACCCTCACCAAGTTTGCTGATGACACCAAGCTGTGTGGGACAGTCAATAGGGTGGAGGGAAGGGATGCCATCCAGAAGGACCTTGACAAACTTGAGAGCTGGGCCTGTGCAAACCTCATGAAGGTCAACAAGGCCAAGTGCAAAGATCTGCACATGGCTTGAGGCAATCCCGAGCACAAATACAGGCTGGCGGAGAATGGATTGAGAGCAGTCCTGAGGATAAGGACTTGGGGGTGCTGGTGGATGAGAGACTGGACATAAGCCAGCAATGTGCACTTGCAGGCCAGAAAGCCAACTGTATCCTGGGCTGCATCAAAAGCAGCAGGGCCAGCAGATCCAGGGAGGTGATTCTAACCCTCTGCTCCACTCTGGCAAGACTCCACTTGGAGTGTTGTGTTCAGGTCTGGGGCACCCAACATAAGAAAGATGCGGACCTCTTGAAGTGAGTCCACAGAAAGCCACCAAGATGACCCAAGGACTGGAGCACCTCTCCTATGAAGACAGGTTGAGAGAGTTGGGGTTGTTCAGCCTGGAGAAAGCTCCAGGGAGAACTTGGAGTAGCCTTCCAGTACTTGAAGGGAGCATGCAAGAGAGGTGGAGAGGGACTTTTGACAAGGGCATGTAGTGATAGAACAAAAGATAGATATTGGGAAGAAATTCTTCACTGTGAGGGTAGTGAGGCACTGGCACAGGTTGCCTAGAGAAGCTGTGGATACTCCATCCCTGGAAGTGTTTGAGGTCAGGTTGGATGGGTCTCTAAGCAACCTGTTCCAGCGAAGGTGTCCTTGCCCATAGCAAAGGGTTGGAACTAGATGATCTTTAAGGTCCTTTCAATTCCAAACCATTCTCTAAGTCTATGATTCACCCCTCCAAAACAAAAGGGGCAATTCCTTAGGCTAAACAGGTACTGTGAATATGCTGGATTTCAATGAGCACACTGTCTCAACATGCAGATACACCCTGGACTGCAGCAGGTATCCAAGGAAATACTAGTGTGCCTTCCCACCTCTCCGTAACCCAGGTATCCACTTCCCTTGGGCTCCACAAAAAGCACAGCCAGTACACCCAGTTTCTGGCATAACTGTAGCTTTTCTTGGCTCACTTGCACCTTCTGTGTCAGCACCAATTCAACAACAGAAAAAGCTGATTATACTGCAAAAACCCTGTTGCTAAAGGATTAAGCTGCAACAAAACACTTCGTGTGCATAGAAAGTCAGAACTGGTGGAGTGGCTTCCCACCTCATCACAAGCCCACTGCAGAAGGAGTTTAAGCATGCAAACTCCGTGTGCTCACTGTTTTATGGGAGTGAGTGTTACACTGAAAATTAGAGAAAATGATACATGCACATAAACATAGACTGCATATAGGCTGTCTGCACTTCTAGATGTTATTTTATTGAGGAGATCTCAGCCTTTTTCACATTAATTTTGAAATTCTGAAGACATTTGTGGAACTGGCTCTGGGTTAAGAATATTTACCATGAACCAAACACTCCACCGCAGTTCATCTATTATACCCACCGCTTAAGAACATTTGTAACTCTGTCATTCCAACATGTCAAGTCCTCCTGACAGGCTCTGAAACGTTCTTTTCACTAATCAGTACAGAAACAATTTGGGGGGAGGGGCATCTCCTTACAGTAAGGGCAATAAATAAAAGCCAGGCAAGCCTTCCCCTCAAGTTCTTGCCTAGGAGATAGGAACACACAGAGAGCAGAGCAGCACAAAGGGATGCTGACCGTACCGTACTTCCAAATGTGGAACACCTTATTCATGGCTCCCAGCTCCGTGTACCAGAATCCCACCAGCTCTGAGTGAGCTGTGCGATAGTGAAGGTACTTGTTGACCATTTCCAAAAACTCCTTCATCTTCGATGGCTTAATATCATACGTGCGGATTTCATAGAAATTGCTGTTACTTTGTCTGGGCCCTGTAGCAAAGAGTACCTGAAAGAAAATAGTAAAAGAAATAAATAACAGCAATTCTCAAGCCAGAAAGCTGTCTTCTGCCTCGTTCTGAGCCTTTTGTTTTAATTAGTCAGATGCTATAGAGAGATTTTTTTTACTGTAGCCTGGGAGAGGGGGAGTCACTTCATGATGCTCACTAAAAAAATGTATCTTCTGACATTTTTCTTTGGAAACAGTTCCCACCTGCATTATTTGCTGCCACTCCTTTTGCCAGTGCAACAGATTGTGATGTGTCTGTTACTTGTTGCACTCAAATTACTAACTATTAACTCATAACAAAGCAGTATTTCCCTTTTCCTCATATCCCATCCTCAGGAAGTCAGCAGCAAGATGCAAAGGGTCAAAGTGATAAAAAGGTATTTGGCTAAGCATATTATTCAAAGTCAAGGCTGCTGATGCCACCAAAGCAGAGGCAACATCAACACCAGCCTGTGTTACCCTTACCTAACCAACGCAACTACTGCTCTGTGTTTTCTAATTACAGTCTTATATCAGTATTATAAAATCATAGAATCATAGAATTTAAGGGGTTTAATGGACCAACAGCTCATCTAGCTACAACCCCCCCTGCCATGGGGATGGACACCTCCTCACCAGACCGGTTTGCTCAAGCCCTCATCCAGCCTGGCCTTGAACACTGCCAGGGTCAGGGCAGATACCATGTCCCTGTACAAAATGTCCAAATGTCTCACCACCCTTAGAGTAAA